TTTGAGAAGGTTTAATTTCAAATCTCTACATCAATATTTTGATCTATTAATATTTGAGGTTCTTGAGAATTCAAACTCAACTCCCTAAACTAAGAAACATGTACCTAATTAATTATGTACCAAAAATAATGTACCTTATTAATTGAAAGGGCCTAATCTCCATCCTAAAAAAGGGGTTCGTAATTGTTTTTAGGCAATATAATTGTTTCAATTTCCTTTTTTTCAAAAAATACCCACTTCTAAAATTTGATCAACCTAGCTGATAAAGTACTTGTTATTTCTTTTTGTGCCCATCTTAAAGACGGTAAGACTTTAACAAGGGAATGGATTACGTTGTTACCACCCACCATATCTTCCTTTCGCTGTATTCAAACGTCAAGCGCACAGAATTTGTGGGTTCCGTGAAAGAAGCATGTCTGTAGGCTGGATTTTTGGTATATGCTTCGTCTAATGTTAGTTTGGCAATAGAAAAATGTTAAACAGCACATTCACATATGGACATCGACACACCTTGCAGTAACTTCCATGTGATTAATAAATTAAATAGAATGAGATTAATTAGTCAATCGGGCAAAGCTGTCATTTGTGAAATTCAAGTATTTATATATATAAAACCTCCAATCTTGACGCAAAATTAAATTAATAAGTACTAATTCGGTCAAGATTTTTTAATTTTTTTTTTTTTGTTGGAACCAAGTTTTTCTAATTTTAAACAATGGATATATATGATTGGTAAAAAGCACGTGGTGACACATTATGTTTATTGGCAGACGGTCCAGTAATATACATATTAATTGAAACACTGAGGAATGAATAATACATGTGTTGGGTGGGCTAAGAATATGATTAAATTAAGAGGCAGATTATAAGGACCATTGAGTTGAGTGAGTAGATCGACATCACGCCAGGATTATTAGGTAGAGAACTGTTGTTGGGTGAAAAGGACTGCCACTTTGCTCATGTGGGAGATCACTAACATGAAGGATGAAACCCTCCCCAAATCCAACATCACCCTACACAAACCTTTCCCCCCAAATAAAAATTTCATATTGCTACATCATATTTCCTTCCACATTATTTATAGTCCACTACCTGTGGCCCTTATGGGAGCGTGTTTGGTTGGTAAAAAATGTTGTTCCAATTAAGTTCTTGAAAAAGTGTTGCAACTTGTAATAGATAGGACATTTGCAACTTCGATTTCTAACTTAGTAAAAGTTTGTAAATATAGGAATAGTTAGCAGTTTTGGCATAGATTGCATATGTTATAACTATGTTTGTTTGCCTTGCGTGAATTGTTTTCTGCCTCTCATTAATGATAATAAGATGTAGAGTTTACACTTTTGACATAGAAATTATTAGTTTTAAAAAAAGTTAGAGTTTGTTTTATTTGTTTAATCACGTATTTGTCTGTAAAAAAACTTTAAAAACTTGCATTACCCTCACCAATCATCATTGAAAAGAAACCTTTAGTGTCAAAGCTAATTACCCAATCATTTACTTATGTGAAAGTTAATTTTTAAACATGACATACCTTGCTAACTTTTAGTAAAAAAGTAACTCTAGTTAAACAATTAACTAATATTTATTTTATATTTGTCAGTAATTTAAGTAACTTAGTAGTTATCTCTTTCTATTAAAAATAAAAAATTTTAAATTCAAGTTGCATGGCATGTCGGTGAAATGAGATAAAAAATGAAAAATGATTGCCTCTCATTGTGCAACAAAAAAAAATTATTCTATAGTTAAAAAAATTTTCAACTATAAATAGTAATATATTGTCATTAAATATTGGTGGCTAATATTACAATCTCCCAGTAAAGGTTGTTAATCCTTAATGAGATGAATACAGGTCTTTAAATAATAACAGCCTATCAATCATTGATATCGAACATAAGTATAGACAACTAATCCAAATAAATCCTTTAATCTAAACTTTAGCCTCTACACGAATTGAAGAGTTCATAAGAAAGATAAGCAGACAGAATTAGTATTTCTCTATTGCAACTAACTAAAGGGTAAAATTTTCCGGTATAAAATAGTACAAAGGTAGCTAAGGATTGTAGCATCTTTTCCCGTCTACTTTGTTACGTCCCATTAATTGACTGACTTTCGCTGCCATCTGTCTCTACATGTTAATTTGTTAGGTAATGTGAATTTGAGATTGACATTTTTATCCAAATAATTCAAATGAAAACTTTCGCATTTTGCTCTTGGTTCTACATGTAATATTCTCCTAATTAACTCCCTGCCTTATATTAACTTTATTTACCAGAACCCAAATTGAAAAACACAAAATAAATTAAGACAATGACTTGAACCAAAAACCAATCTTATCATATTTTTATCTCTTTGAATTTAATTTAGGATCCAACAATTTTTAAGTTTTTTTTATTTGTTATTTTTTAACATTTAAGATAGGAGGATTCAAATTTATTAACGTTACTGTTTCTTAATTTTTATTTTTTTATTATTAATAACTATAATATATTTAGTAATTTATATTATGTTAGCGATATGGTTTCATGGTAGAGTTATTTGTAATCTTAATTATAGGTTTAGGGTTCAAGTCCTACTTTATACATGTAAATAATAATTTAGTCACTAAATATAGTATGGGATTAATATTTATATATCACACTTTCAAAAATTAAGAAAAAAATGCATCAAATTAAATTATTTTGTCTCAATAAAGAATTACAGATAAAAGGATCAAAATAGTTTAATTCTTATGTTAAAATTATGTTTTTTTAATTCTTATTTTAAAATTATGTTGTTTTAGTTTTTTCACACTAAAAATTTATTAAAATAACATAATTTTAGAGTTTTTAGTAATTTTAGTAAAATCTTGCTGATAAACATTTTTCTCATATAATATCGATTGCTAAATGTAAATAATTGTAAATAAAAATAAAGACAAAAATTAACATTACTAAATGCCTTCTAAACTTTTAAAAGTCTCATCATTGATAAATCCCTGTTGTCTCAAATGTTATATTTTTAATTTGAACCTCTATATTATCATTGATATTGAGGTGTGAACTTGACTCAAGGACAGAGCCAATGAAGGATAAGGGGGAGCAGCCGCCCCCCTAAACTTTTGAAAAACATTTAATATGGTACTCTAACTTTTTTTTGTTAAAAATTTTGTTTTTTTATAAATTGAATTTTAAAGACTATTTCAAATGTAGAAAAAATATTTAAGACTTAAATAAAGATTTTTCAAAAAATAAAGATATGGTTTAAATAAAATGAACTTA